AAGCGGGTTTTGTGTGTCCGTGATTGCAAGCTGACTTCTGTGTTTGAGGGTGATACACATATATGAACCTAGTGCAGAAGCTGAGGCTGTTGTTGATGCAAGCAATGCGAGCACGGCCACATTCGGTGTTCCACTTCGGCTTGGTGTGCTCAAGCTGGGTATCCATATGCATGGACTCCTCCGGTCGACGATATTTGTGTCCCCATGGAGACACATCTCTTAAGTGGGTACATGATGGCAATGTCATGGTGTCAAGGTTCAGCTTTGATGCATGTTGTTCGTGTGCACTGTATAGGTTTTGCAATGTGCAACTTAAGCTGTGCTCTGTCAGGTTCTGCTTGATAGCTTGGCTATTGATGGCGAGAAATTGCCACTGGACCCTGGAGCAACCTGTGTCATCACTAATGTTCAGACATAAGAGGTTTCAAGAACTCTGCAAGGCCATCGTGGTGCCATGACTGCAATGTTACATTCTGTGTGTATCATGTGCTATATATGTCACAGTGTGTTCTCTGTGCCGTGAAAAGATGTTTACCTAGGTCTACCGACAAGCCTTTTGGCTTGGGCGACTTGGTGCCAGGACACCGAAAAGATCGGTGTTGTGGTCATCGTCCAAGGCAATCCTGAGCTTCAGAAAGTTCAGTCGATTGTCTAGGCAGGAAAGGGCAAAGTGTCGGGGCGACCTGGTCAACCGATACCTGGACACTAAAGGAAGGTCTCGATACACAGGGAAGACCAAAGGGCTAAAAAAATCCCAGTGTCATGTCTGCAGTCTAGCCAGTGCATGTACAGACCCTCGAATTCTTGCTGACCTAAAGGTTCTAGAATACAGAGTTGGTCTCCTATCCCAGGCAATATCCCTTCGGCTTCGCCCTCCGCTTTGCCAAGATGATCCCTTGCTTCAAAACATCACCAATCCGGTGGCGACAGGATGCCCAGAAGGCCAGGGATGCAGTACTTCCAAGGTTTTGGTGAGATGTGCACAAGTTATATTACAGTCTAGGCCTGCATGTTGTGAGGTGGAAAATTTTCGATTGGATGATTGCAAAGAGTATCTTTGCAAGCATATCCCAAATGATCGTTGGCACGACGCGCAAATCAACGAAGTCATCGAGTACTTGTATGCAAATAAGCAGCTGCAGCTGACGCCAGAACAGAAGCAGATGGTTCGCGGGCTGGCAGAAGACTTCGCCGGATAGAGCCTTTGTTGCGGGATCCGTGGGAATAAGCTGGCAACCGGGGTGGGGGACGGGTGTGCACACATGAAGTAGTCCATGTGTCTACATGTGTGTAGATGAGATTTTCCATTATGGGTGGTGCATGTATACATTATGTAAGCATGTATATAGGTGTACGTGTTTGTGTGTATACATGTATATATACGCACATCCACACACACACACATGTATCTAATATTGCATGTGTTATATACATGTATACAGTCGTATATTCACAGACACACACACACACACACACGTAAGTGCAGATAGATGTATACATATATGTACTTATTATACTATTCAGCATATATACAGAACATATGTGTAGATATGATTATATATATGTATATATATATATATATATACATATGTATCTACCTATATACATTATATATACACATGTGTAAGAGTATATGCATATGTATTATGTAAATAGTCTATATGTTTACATATATAGTGTGTGTATATATATATATATGTATATATATGAACACGATATGTATATACATATACATGAATATATATATATATATACATACATTCATGTCATGTGATTTCAATCATGTTCTCGATTCTCTATATATGTACACATATAACCACTTGTATATAATCGCATAATATTATATGTGTATGTATATACATATATATATACACACATTGTGTACGTGTGCGGTATATAAGAGATATATCTCTTATATACCGCACAGGTACATAATGTGTATATACATATATATATATATATATATACGACTGAATTGTGCTTCTGCAAGGGAGGCTTATTTTGGGCTTTGTAATAGGCTCTTTGGGAAGTTATTTCGAGCACTGCGGGATTTCAGTGCTGCTTTTCAGGCTTCAAACCCATTTGTGGGGTTTATTTTGGTGGGTATAAAGCTATATATGGGGTTTATAAGGGGTCGCGGGATTCAGTGCCGTAAATTTGGAGCTGCGGGATATAGCTAGAAGGGCTTCGCTGGGGGGGTTGCGGGATTTATTCGGTCACTCTGGGACTTTGCTACGGAGGTTCGATCGTTTCCTGGAGGCAGGGCTCCTGATGCAGGTCTGGGTCTGTGTTTGTGGGTTTGGGGCAGATCTTATGCGTTGTAGCATAGAATGCATGCAAAACGCAGTGCCGTAAATAAGCGTAAAGTGCCATAACTATGCGTGAAAGTGCCGTAAAAAATCGTAACCCTGTAGCACCCTACTTTTGATCAATTCCAACACGGTTTGCAGGATTTTGGATCGAGTGTCACCAGATTTCACAATGGTGAAGGGCAAGCCTTTACGACTTGCTAGCAAGTCCCATAGCTGTGCCACGCTGTATGCGGGGCAATCGTTCATGGAGTCGCAATACGTGAAGCAAGAAGCAGAAGACATCGATGCAGACATAAGGGTCCCCTAGCTGCAACAAGTCTATTTTATCCTAATCCAAGACCCCTAAACCCTAAGCCACATCGATTGCAGCCCGGCCCCCCAGGCAGCCGAGAATATGCTGAAGCAGCTCCAGCAGAAGGCTCGGAAGATCGAGTGCCTGCATCGGGATGATGGGCCGGTGGCTGATATGGCAGCCCCGGTAGATCCACTCCCTAGACCTGTTGCGACCCCAGCCCGGACAATGGATGTGCTAGTACGACCAGTGTCTACGGATGCACAGCCAGATGCCCAACAGCTTTGGGACGAAGCTTTTGGTTCCGCTGCAATGCCTGAGGATCCTATTGCAGCGCCAGAATCCAAGGAACCCGACGAACCCCGACGCCCCGTACCCAATGAAACCCAAGAGTCTGTGGAGCCCGAAGATCCAAAACCAGTTGCTGAAGCACCCGATGCATCAGACGACGAGTTGATTATGGATGTAGATTGTGCAACTAGCTTGCATTGGTTTGCATTAGGAATGGACGAAGCTATATGTTTAGTCTAGTCTTCTTTATATTAATAATCCCTATATGAAAGCCCTTCGAATCTGAGGATTTCAATGAACTTCGCGAGCTTCTTCATGCCAGCCTTGTCAAAGAGGAGAAGTCGCCGCCGCCGACACCAACAGCAGCCTTGTTTCAATATATGTGTGGGTTTGAGATTGGGTGTCCTGCAGCAATAGCGGGTGTCCTTTTCTAAGGTGCCAGATGAGGCTATGGATGGTATCGATGATCCGTATTGGGAACGCATTCCCCAGGGTCCTCAGCCTTCCACCTCTGAACATGGTGCTGGTCAGGGAGATGTGGCTGACACCCTCATAACCTCGCCTATGACAGCCCGCAAGTTGTTCCACAGCCCCGAAGTTAAGCAAAAAACCCCAGGCCAGGAGACTACCAACGACCCCGTCACAACACCGAGAAAGCCGACGCAGGCCCGAAGCCCACACGGCTCGCCAGTAAAGTCTTCAAAGCGAAAGCACCGAAGCAGCACCCCAAGCTCCGCATGCAAGCCACGGGGCCGCTCGGGCCGTGATGCCAACAAAGAGGTCGAACAGGTTCCTGAGGAGCAGAGCCGAAGCTCAAAACGCACCGCAAGCCCGAAGCATGGGTCTGAAGCCAGGGACCGAAAGTCCGATGCCAGCAAGCATGGAGAGTGCAAGGAAACCCCAACCAAGCCTATGAGCAAGAGACACCGAGAGCGCAAAGAATCCCCAACCAAGTCTGCTACGAAGAGGCATCGAGACCGCAGTGAATCCCCGACCAAGTCTACTCCGAAGAGGCGTCGAGACCACAGTGAATCCCCGACCAAGTCTACTCCGAAGAGGCGTCGAGACCGCAGTGAATCCCCGAAGAAACCCCGTAGGAGCCCTCGATCCACGCCCAAGAGCAAGCCACGTGCTAGTCCAGCCCCAACGTCTCATTCGGCATCTCCCTCGACTACTCCGACATCCAAGAAGAAGGCCCGGTATCCGTTTATGGGAATAACACATGTGAGTGATGTTATAGTATACATATATACATATATGCGATTGTATATGTACATATCTATGTAACGAACCTCCCGACACAAGTATTTACCCATCGCTCTAAATACAACATCAGTTATCTATCCAATATATATATATATATATATATATATATATATATATAACACCTTATTACCATGAGTATATTTCTCTATATATATATATATAACCACACTGTGAATATACATAAACTTAGCAAATATACATATTATATATATATATATATATATACATATGTCTTAAGAACCTATATAATATGCCGGTTCGTAATATAAGATTATATTGTGTACCCTTAAATTTCGCACATGTTTCTCTCTCTCATTCTCTCTCTCGTTCTATCTCTTCCTCCCTCTCGCACTCTCTCTTCCTCCCTCTCGCTCTCTCTCTCTCTCTCTCTCTCTGTCTCACTCTCTCTCTCTCTTGCTCTCTCTTTCTCTCTCTCTCTCTCTCTCTCTCTCTCTCTCTCTCTCTATCTATCCATCTCTCTCTCTCTCTCTGTCTCTCTCTCTCTTTCGCTTTTTCTCTTTCTCGTTCTGTATTGTCCAGACAGTCCACAAAGCCCTTGCAGGACCTGAAGAAAGGCACCATCCGGATCACGGCCCGTGAATACAAGAATTATGAAGCCACGCTGCGACGGATGTGCAACAAGAGCGCGAAGAGAGGATCCTTGCAAGTGAGCTCAGATGTGGCTGAGAAATGGAAGTGTACGAAGGCTAGGAAGCAGCTGATCGTGGCACTCATTAACTGCAATGGGGACAAGGCCACTGGATTGCACAACATGTTGCTAACGATGTGTGCCGAATATCTGATCTCATCACAATACATGTTTCTGTTTCTGCAATAAAATTTCGAGCTCAGGATGCCTTCAATCAGCGAATGGAGATTGTTATCCGAAATATCAAGGAGGGCAAGGTGGTGATCGATAGTGGCTACTACACGGAGGCCACGATGAAATCGGAGCTCAAGTTCGACAAGCTGCTTGACTCAAACTTACATAATGTGTCTGCTGCAACTGCTATAGTGGGCATAATGTGCATGCTGCCCAGGGACAGAATCAAGGCCGTGGTGAAGTACTGCACGGCCACCAAAGCCCGTAGGAGGGCCTTGACAAGGCCATTTCCATGGGTTCCATATGTTCGATGTATATGTACCATGACTGCTCAATTAATTTTATCCCTGCATCTAAGGAAAGACAAGTACCAATCCCACATCATCGAGTATTGGGTGGACGTTCGCACCAGCGGGAGCCTATCGAGGAGCACGAAGGAGGAATTCAACCAGTTTGTCGAGATCATCGATAGTGGTGCATCCTTGCCACCGCCTACCTTGGGCGACGAAGCCCTCCCTTCCTACGATGTCGAGGATGATGACGACGAAGACGACGACCAGGACGACGGGGACGACGATGAAGACAACGATGAGACTTCTAAGACCCCGAGCACCAGACGCAAGAGACGCAGCAAAAGGTCCAAGAAGACCCCAAGCCCCAAGAGCAAGATGTTGGCCCGAAAGAAAAAGGAGAAAGAGGAGAAGGAAGAGGCAGTGGAAAGTGCTTTGGAGGCTCATCACATTGACCCTATCTAAATATAATTCTGTTATGTATGAGCACCTAAACCCCTATATAAGTATATAACCCCTAAACCAATAAATCGTGCTGCTTCAGGAGATCAAGAACATCCCGCAAGTGCTGTCGGAGATTCTAAAATTGCGAATCAAAGTGGACGGCACCCTCGAAGATCTGGCCAAAAAGGCTGGCAAGAAAGGAGATCAGTGACTTAGCTATATACCTAGGCCAACTATATTATATGCTCTTGCATCCTGCATTTAAGGAATAGGGGCGACAAGCTCAGCAAGCACGGGGACGACCTGATGTCGTTGCATGATGAGCTAGCGGAGATTAAAGCGGACAACAGCAACACGGCCACTCCCAGCGATGAGTTTCCTGCCTAATATTACACATGCCACGGGTCTTACAACTAGACTCCGAAATCCCGAAACCCAGGACGATGAAGAAGCTGAAGGAAAAGTTGGCTGCCGTTGAAAAGCTGTCCCTTGGCTAGACTACACCAAACATTGAAGCTTGTTTACCCTCTTAAGTTTGCTGGCCAGGACGAGCCGCATCACCATGGAGCAGAAGAAGCTCAAGCGGCCTCGGTGATGCAATGAATCAGTTATCCTTCCCATAAAACCAGATATAACTTTCTCTACAATATACCCGATGTAAAATCCCAAAAATAAGAGTTAACAATGTAATACTTCGAACCCTAGTTTATAGACATTCCCTATGTTATAGCTAAGGATGCATCTCGATCGATCAAAGCCAAAGAAGAAGCCCGCAAAATCCGAGCGGGACAAGGATGAGTCTGATGATGAGGATGAAGCTGAGCCTCCAAAGGAGTCTCGGAAGCCAAAGGGTAAAGCTAAGGGAAAGGCAAAGCCAAAGGCAAAAGCCGCTGCGAAGTAGATTGCCCTGAATCACATGCGGTGTGTATGTATATATATATATATACTGGCTCTGGCACTGTATTCCTATGGGTATATCTGCTGGGCTTCTAGGCATAGGGTTCCTATGGGTTCCGTAAGGGGGCGGGTTGAAAGATCCGCAATCGGGGCAAGCTCTTCTTTGCCACATGTGCTATGTGGTCGCAAAGCTTGCGGTTCCAATTTCGATGCAACTCCAGGGGCGTCTCAAGCAAAGCAAGCTGCAAAAGACCGATTGCAACCCCAAGTTTCACGATCTTATATCAACCCAAACCTGTAGAACCCCTGATGCCGCGCAGGTGCGGCAAGCAGCAGCCGTGGCGAAACCGGAGCAGCGTCAGCTGCCTTGGCCCGGGCTCGTGGATCCGCGGGGGTGTGTGGGTCCAAATACATAGTTCGGCAACCCCAAACCTATCCGTATGCGCATGTGTAGGGCAACCCCGAATCGATGGGACTTTTTTAAGACCCCAGAATGAGCTCGATAGTCAATCAATCCTTATGCATAAAGAACCGTTATCACGAACCCCCCATTAATACCCTGGCTAGTCTAAGCCGATACCCTATACCCTGAAGGTTTCAGATCGGTTGCTATGCAGCATTGCTGCCGGCTTCGTTGATGAAGTTCGTGAGGCCGACCCAGATTTAGCCGAGGATCTTCGAAGTGCTCATTTGCTTCGGGACTTACACCGGCAATCGAAAACGAAGCACGAAAGTGCATCTTCAAAAAGCTTCGCAAAGAGTGGCTTATCCTGTCCAGTAGAGATCACGACGGTGGAAGTGGGTCCTGACGAAACACATCCTGTTCTGAAGATTGCTGATATGCTTCAAGCTTTGGCTTCATGCAACAAGTTGTGTTTGCTCTGGGGTGCTAAGTCTATGACTTCAAATACTGATGTGCTGCCGAAATTCTGGCGACGCTGGAGAGCTCACGATCCGCAGCATGCAGTTTTCGGGCACCATCGGAATAACATGGCTTATGTGCTTCCTCTGCAATTGCATGGGGACGAGGGTCAAACCCTTAAGAAGTCTGGGGTGCTTGTGATAAACTGGCAATCTCCACTTGGCTTTGGCCTTTCAACAACGGAAGATCGCCCTGAAGCTATGTCCCTAAACTATACTGGCAACTCCTATGGCACACGGTTCCTCTACAGCGTCTGCCACAAGAAGCGCTATAGCAAAGGGAAGTCCTATATCCTCACTGGCATCATGGACCGATTAGCTGAGGAACTTGTGGATGCATTCTACAACGGCGTATCTCTACAGATTGGGGGCAAGCAGGTTACCTTCTACTTAGCCTTGCTGGGGCTTAAGGGAGATTGGCCTATCCAAGCTCGATTCGGGAATTTGTCACGACACTTCGCCCGCAAGGGCGTGTATGAGGTTTCTGAAAAGAGTGGATTCTGCCACTTGTGCAGAGCTGGGGAGCAAGGCTACAATCCAAATGACTATGGAGAGTCTGCTAGTTGGCGAGCTACGTACTTGCAAACTGTTCCCTGGGATACAGAAGGACCCTTGTGTCGTGTGCCGCAGTCGCCAGCGAAGGAGTATATGCACAAGTTCGATGTATTTCATACTGTCCATAAGGGCGTCTTTGCTGAGCTTGCCGGCAGTGGCATAGTGACGTAGCTTCAATGTATACATGTGTTACAACTTGCTCGGGTTTTACCTAACATATGTGAACTGTAACTTCATAACCCAACTTTTGGATTCCGTTTTAAACATACTCAGGTTGTCATCACCGACTACGGGTTGGCAGGGCCTGGCGATATTCCGGCGCAACTTGATACGATCCACAAAATGGCTGTGCAGCACTGCAAGGAAACGAATACGCCCTTGCACATGGACTCGCTCACTCGGCATCTGCTGTCATTTCCAGGGGACTATGCATATCCCGTGGGGTGCCTTCTCGGTACATGGTAAGCTTTGGGTTTAAGGTATATCAGCATATAGAGGTTTAAGTTTTTTAATTTCACACAAAGCATAACCTAAGGAATTGGTTTAAAGGTGCCGACACTACAGCTATGTGCAGTTTCCTTGAAATGTTCTGGACGCAACACCTCGCGAGTGCAAGCACACGGGACGCATACCTGGACGGGCTTCTGGAATGCTTGCGTGCTGGGAATCTCTTCATGCGTACCTTATACGGCTCAGGTCTGTGGCTTTCCTTGGACCGCTGCAAGATTGCTGCCGAATCCGGCTTAGCATTTCTGAGGTCGTATTTGGCGACATCGCATCGAGCTTTTGAGTTACAGCGCACGCGCTTCAAACTCACACCCAAGTTCCATGCTTTGATACACGTCATTGACGGGCTTGCGATCGCTTACAACAGTGGTCGCCGATGGACACTCAACCCTTTGAGTGAGGCGACTCAGATGGACGAGGATTTTATCGGTCGTGTATCGTCTTTGACAACAGCTGTGGGCACCCGTCAGATGCACATACAGACTTTGAAGAAGTATCTGACCAATGTGTGGACCCATGTGCGCTCGAAGTGAAAACGAAGAGGGGGCCGAGTGTGTGGGAGAAGCACTTAAGATCCTGATTGGCATCCCGAAACATAATCCTATAGTTTCGACTGCAAATCCCCAACTCAAAATGGTCACTAGGATTCAACAACTTTCAAAACAAGCGCCTTTCGTTAGTCGCCTGTTATTTTGGGCTACCGGGTTTTCCAGGTATAGTGAATCTATAGATAAATTCATGACTATGAAATAAACACCATATGACGAGCAATCAAATATTTATATATATTAGTATTTCTTTTTAATGAATTATACATCAGCAGGATGAAAGTTTTGTCCCAGTAAGATTTATTATTTGGCGGAGGACTCGGAGTAACAGAAAGTGTATTTTACGTAGCCTGGCCAGTGGAGGAATTTCGATATCAAAATAATTATATATGATTTTTTTATTCCGACGGAAGAATTCGTGACGTCCGGGCCTCATATCGAAATTTCGTGAAGGAGTTTATGGGGAAACGGGGTTTGCAAGTATATATTAATAGACCTACCCGATGCGACGAACTTTCGTCCTGGCGCAGCATGAAATCCAAGACCGATAGTTTGGTAAGGCCACCACGACACACATAGAAGATATTTTGCACGGGTCCGTACTCGTTTTTGGTCGGGGGGGAGCAGCATGAAATCCAAGACCGATTATTTGGCAAGGTCACCACGGCATACATAGAAGGTATATTACACGGGTCTGTACTCGTCTTTGTTCGTGGGGAGTAGCATGAAATCCAAGACCGATAGTTTGGCAAGGCCAACACGACACCCATAGGAGACATTTTGCACGCGGGGGGACCAACATGAAATCCAAGGCCGATAGTTTAGTAAGGCCACCACGACGCTCATAGGAGGTACTTTGCACGGGTCCGTACTCGTTTTTGTCGGGGGGAGCAGTATGAAATCCAAGACCGATACTTTGGCAAGACCAGCACGATATACAAAGGAAGTTTTTTGCACGGGCCCATATTCGTTTTTGAAGACTCGGAGTGCCAGAAAATGCATTTTACGTAGCCTGGCCAGTGGAAGAATTTCGATATCAAAATAATTATATATGATTTTTTTATTCCGACGGAAGAATTCGTGACGTCCGGGCCTCATATCGAGATTTCGTGAAGGAGTTTATGGGGAAACGAGGTTTGCAAGTATATATTAATAGACCTACCCGATACGACGAACTTTCGTCCTAGCGTAGTATTAACGATCTTCCTTTTTTTTAAGAAGATAAATTTGATTCTTTTGTAAGAAAATATCTCTTTATATATATTTAAATTTACGGGAATGAAATGGAGAAAATATAATCGAAATCTATCTAAATAATTCTTTCTTTTAGAAGAATGAATCGTAGATTCTTCGTATTTCGTTTATCACTAGAAATAAGAGAGAGATCAGATAAGAGATAACATGAAGAAAGATCTTAGCGAAAAGAAGAGAAGAACGAGGATATCTTACATCGTAATTTATAGTATTTATAAGAAATTTACGAATTCTATCAAATCTAGAATTTTGAAGGATTCGAATCCAAAACTCTATATTTAGGAGATCTATGAATTCTATTCGGTTTGAAACTAGATTTATAGAATTTCTACAGTCTCTCTCTCCATCTCTCTGAATTCTTTTCTATCTTCTTTCTCTTATCTTTGGAATTCTATCTCTTCTCTCTGAAATTATCCTTTCTCTCTCCTATCTTCTATCTTCCCTAGTATCTCTCTTCTCTTCTCTCCTCGTCTTCTGGTTCTCTCTTCCTATCTTCTTTCTCGTTCTCCTATCTCTCTATCCCTTCCGCCTCTATCGTCCTATCCCTCTGCCGTTCTACCTCTCTCTCTGACTCCCTCTTTCTTTCCTTCTCTCCTCCTCTCCCTCCCTCTCCCCCGTCTGCCTCTCTCCTTCGCTTGCTTGCTGACGCGTATGGGGACCTCTCCTTCGCTCTCTCTCTGTGTCTTCCTCTTTCTCGCTCTCGTTCTCTTCCACACACGAATGCGCTCAAGATGTGAACTGACATCCAAGACTTATGTTGCACAATAGCAGAAGCAGCAAGTGCAGGTACAGGGTGTTAAAGGACATGAAGTCAATCGGCGTTTTTGGGGCCATGTGCTGACATCTTGCGCAGGTGTATCTGGTAGGTGTTGCACATGCAACGCATGCCAGATGTGAGATATGCGACGAAAGCTTTTGAAGTCCACGATGCACTATCACATGTAGAGCTTCACACGACATACGCAAGGGTGCCACAAACTCGAGAAAGCCACTATCACACATCAACTGCTTACAAGCAAAAAGAACTACGAGAAGTACTAGGCCGGCAACTCTATTTTTCCGTGATGCCAGAACGAATCGTCTGCGAGCATCCATGCATGATGGGGTCGCCAAGCTTTCCGGTTGTTTAATTCCACTTGACTTATGCCTGGCCTCAGGCCGTGCATTGTTAGGGCGCGGAAGGTTTCGAAGTTGCATTCGCCTCTCATCTTCCGCTGCTTCGATCAGACAACCTGGGATGGAACGGTCAACAGTCTATCGGAGCCTTTGTGATTGGAGCAGGGTTTGGGGTATATACCCTAACATATAGGATACTCATTATTGAGGCATGGCTTCAGCAGATTCAGTTTGACAAGAGTCTGGGATCAGTGTCATGGTCCGTGAAATTGCGGCCGACTACCGGGCTGCATCATACGGGACTTTCCGAAAATAGGGACCCTAACATAGTACCCTGAATAGTAGGATCCTTTTTATCAGGATCCCAAAAGAAGGTACCCCCCAATTCTCAGGAACCCCCATACTGCATCTTGGCGGCCAGTTCTCCCTGGCTGTGCTTGGCTAGCGCGAAGCCTGGCACATGCTTGCACTGAAAGCCCCGATGCGAAGCCCAAACACCTGCCAAAATGTCTGCAGAGAATGCGGGATCTGATAAAGCATCTAAACCCATGAAAACCTCTTTTTGATCACAGATTTGTTGCTGCTGGGTGGAAGGATGTTGATTCCAGGAACTTCCAGTACCGCTTCTGCTTGAATGGTTAAGGGCATTGCCTGGAAAGTTCCGGGTTGCGTCAGACCATCGGACAGGCCCATGGAAGACAAGATGCTGCTATTTACTATAGGGGATTTAATTATTACAGTAGGGTCTTGGGGCGCACTATACTTTCTTTATAGTAAGGAACCACCCTAAATGGTATCTTACTTTAGCCCCTATAGTATCCTACTATTGGTTGCCAACCATACGAAGAAGCCTCGGCCTAAGAATCCAAGAGTCTTTCACACGCAACCATGCCGTCGGCGCCAACACGAAATTCCTTTGCATCGAACGCGGTGTAATACCTTCGCCAGTGGCTGCGGAGCGAATGTGAAGTTTGAAATCGCTTCGAGTCTGCGACGTACCAGCAAACTTGAACATCTCTAGAATTTTCACCTTCAGCCGGCACAACTCTAACCGAAACACCACCGCAAACTATTCCTGTATTTGACGGTTTCTTGGCGAGTTCCTATATGGCTTCCTGGAAAAGCTCCTGCAAAACTCTGGGTAACGGCTCCTACCAGAGTTCTTTACAGGGAGGTGCTCGAAGGTCTCCCTGGCACCAAGAACCCTCAGCTTAGGGTTCATAGAAATTGTTAAGGGTTTGGGTGCCAATAAGTTTTGACCAAAACGTTTTGACCGACTGAAACCACATTTTGAATTTGCTGGGCTGGCTGGGCTGGGCGCAGTCAGCAGCGGCTGGGGGCTGGTTGGTGGGGCGGGCTGGGCTGGGTTGGGCTGGGGTGGCTGGCCCAGCCTGTTGGGGTTGGGGCTGACTGGCTGGGCTGTGGGGCTGGTGCTCTGCGGCTGGCTGGCCCACTGGTTGGGGGGCTTAAGCTGGGCCGCAGCGTGGGGCTGGGTGGTGGGGCTGGGACTGACTCGGGCTGGGGTCTGGCTGGGGAGGGGCTGCTGGTCTCAGGTTGACGGCCGGCTGCTAGGATGGCTTCTGCACTGGCGTAATTGGGTTGTGAGCGATGCTGTGGGTTCGGCTGTGAGGGTTCTGTAGAAATTGGTGTATCGATAACTGCCGGGCCGCCGCTGGGTTATAAACAAAGACAAGCAATTTCTATTTATTTCTTCCTTGAGGTGTTTTTTTGGGGGTTAGCGCCAATCTTTGGGGTTTACGCTCTCGCAACTCGGACGCAGCCAGACGAGGATCTTCGTGTGCGGTCGGACTACACAGACGGTTCCTCCGGTTTCGACCAGTTTACAAGGGTGAAGGCATGTCGTGTGTCCAGGTCCATGGGCTGAACTGGATGGCAAAAGGACGCCTCTCATCCAGACGCGGAGTCAGCACCAGCCCTCCCCCCAAGTTGATCTTTCTTGAGTCTCTGAGCCTTAAGCTCGACAACAGAAAAGAAGGGGCCGGAAGAATTAGAATAGGGTTTTGGGGCCCGCTATGCTATAAGTATAAGAAGGAACTCACCAAAATCGTATTGGTAAGTAATTCGGATGTATTGAAGCCCTCTACATTAATCCGCTCGTACTGCAGTCCTCCTGGCTCCGAAAAGGTCTGAACCGTCGCATGTCCCGAAAAGAATCGAAAAGATGCATGCGCAACCAAAACAGCCCCAAATCCACACATCAGAACGAAGTGATTCCTTGCAGCTAGAGCCTCAAAGCATCAAGCCCACAACTACCCCAGGCGGAATTGAATCGTGCCAGAACATCTACACGCTGCGTGGGGATGAAAACCCGCGCTTGAGAACCACCCTTCGCAGAGTTGAGAACTTCGCATTGGCTTGATGGGAGGCCACAAGGGGGGTTCAAGATTCTTGGGGTAGGGTAATGGGAACCCTAATCCCTACTAAACCCCCCATAGGCTAAAACCCCTTTTGGGCTCCAATGATGGTTGGAATTGGTCGAGTCTCTTCTGGAGAACAGGCTCGCCGAAGAGAAAGACCTTGCCAGCTTGGGCGAGTTGCGGCTATGAAAGCCGCATACTACCTATAGTCTCCTTTGTAGTTCTGTTTTTTGGTTC